CTTGGCCAACACTAAGCAAGAAGACTGAGAAACTTACTTCTGGCGTAGGCTGAAGAATACCATTTCTGTTTGGCAATTATTTAAAATTTTCAGAAAGAGCAAACTACTTATGTTGACCTCAAATACAAAAAATAATCAGAGCCAGGTTTATGTTTGTAAGAGATTGCTTGTGCATTGCTTCTCACTGTTGTAACATATGTCTCATGTTTATCACTATTTTGCACCTCTGAGTTCTCAAAGTTCGGAAAATATGTGTAGCTTTGATTAAAATCTACTTTATAAAATTGAATGAACATTATGTATTTTATATAATTATGTCAAAAGATGTCAAATCTCTGTATTTTATTGTGAATGGACAGCAAAAATGGAACTGAATCTTTGCACTGTGTTCCTTGAAAGCAATTTTTAGTGTAGTATACCCAAACTGATTGCATTATGTAGGCAGATACTAGAGTCTTCCTGAGTATAGTTGGCTTGTGTTTGATCTCTAACCCTGCTTGGGTTTGGCCTGTGATGGCCTATCCTTCCTAGCCAGAGATGCCATGTAATTTAGAACTTGTCAGAATGGGAGTTTCTAGTTGAGAAATAATGTGTATGGGACTCAATTTTAAACTTGAGCTGGCTTTTTGATCTTTAATAACAGGTCTTTAATAAGAGGCCTACATTATTATTCCTCTTTCTGTTTTTCCTCCTCCCCTTCTCTCCCCCTCCTCCTCTTTCTTCCTTTCCTCCTGCTCCTCTTGCTGTTTCTCCTCCCTCTCCTCCTCCTCCTACCCACTTCCCCTTCTCTTCCTGTTCCTCCTCCTCCTTCTTTTAAACCCCTTTAATTAGACACCCCAAGCTTCTTCAAGAACAACTTCAAAGAATTTTGCTGTTCTTTTAACGTGTGATTAACTATTGATTTATATTTTGCCTTTTCACTGATAGTAACTAGCATTTAATAGTCAGGAGCCTTAATGAAACATATATATACACACACACATACGTAATTCTTTTGGGTAAAATCCCAGAACAGAACCCTTTTTAACATGCTATTGATGTTTAAAATATGTGTGGAAGAAGCAGGAGCATTTTTCAGAACTTTATTTTTATATTATTTTATTTTTTTGCTACTTGTTACCTCTGTAGACCTGTTTTACAGCTAAAATTTACAGGCCTGATTCTGTAACATGTCAACTCTAGCTTATTCAACAAACCAGCTACTTATTCTTTGTGCGCAGTTAGGACTCTTGCTGTTCCCCCTTAATGCTCCTTACTGCCTGGCCCTCTCCAGCCCCACTCTTCAAAGAAAAGAGTAGGAAAAAGAGGGGAGACTCAATGTCATTTTGCTTTTTTCAATAACATTTTAGCAAAAGATTTGGTAATGGTAAGGGTAAAATATGACTTTGAAATGTGATCTGTGGATATAACCTATCTAACCACATTTCTTATGGAAAAATGTGTTTTTGGATAACAAGGTATGTACCTGAATTGTGTTTGTTTAGCTCCATGGGAGCTGCAGGGGGCAAACCTTTACATGAGGAGAAATCGTGGAGCTTTTTGCAACACTGCTCCTGAGACGGCAGAAATATTTACAATAATACCTAAAAAGAAGAAATGCTTTAAAGAATTGCTGCTATTCCTAAGGCTACTTATTTTTATTAAAAACATTCACAGTGAAAGTGATCAGGCTCAGAATTGTCAGGTATGCATTTGCTGCTCTAAAAAAAAATTTCCTTGTAGAAGAATTTAAAAGATACTGATATTCTTCCTTAGAGGTTTTTTTGGGGGAATGCTTTAAAACAAAAACAACAAAAACTAAACCCATCAGCAAGTGATTGCTTCCATGAGAAACATGCTTCTAGGAGCTATGTGGTGCCAGATAAAAGGAAACCTTGTTTGTGGCCTGTAGCAAGCATGGTCTGTTTCCATTTTTCTGCATGTGTACAGACATTGGTAAATCGGATGTGGCTGTGTCAGGGGAAGCAAATAGGAAAAAACGCAGTAATGAATGTAACACTTTTTGCCTAGCCTCCTTTTGACTCCTTTATTCTGAAAGTGACTGTAGAAACCAAAGCATCGTTAGTTTTGTTTTTACTTCATGACTTTGAAATATCTCATATTGTTTTGTAATAATTTCCATGTTAGGCTGTTGTTATTCTCTTTGTCCATACCTAGATTCCAGCCCATTGGGCAAAAATGAAAGCAGTATTCTGAGAAAGTGACAGAAAGATGCATATGGCTTTTGTACTGCTTTTAAAACTCTTTGGTAATTTTAACTTCAAACTATAAATTAAAAATTACCTTTCTAAAGCATCAGGCTTAAGGCAGCTGCATCAGCAAAACCATGTGGACCAGAAGCCCGGTCTGTCAGGGAACGATATCACCTGGATCCAGCATTGTTTGAAATGATTAACTGTCTGTTCCTCCCTGAAGCGCTTGTTGCTGTTAACTAAGCATAGGAATTTTTCCAGAATATCACTAGACATATTGAATCTGAAGTTTCTGCTCATATTAATCATAATGTATGCTTTTTTCGTAAAGTCTTTATTACACACTCAGAGTGTCCTAAATGATCCAAGCTGGTTAATGAGACGTTATAACAATTATTATTATTATTTCCAGTCTTAACCATGCTGCTGCTAATACGAACAACACGGCTGCTTAAGAGTTTACCTTTGTAAGCTCATTAATCTAGGTTTGAAGGATGGGTCCTCTTAGTGGCTTTTGGCGTTGGTAAAGTCATTGACCCTCTCTGGTGCTTAGTTGCATTGTCAGTGAAATGAGGACAATGATAACTGCCTAAATTGTGGATTGTTGTTTTGAGAACTAGATATGAGAACACAATGAGAAAGTCTCCCTCAGAATGCCTGGTGTGAATTAGTCACTCATTTGTTTTCAGTAACTTCAAAGGATTTTTTTAAACAACTTTAGGAAACTTTTTACTAAATTTTATGAAAAATCTTGTCTTTTTTCTT